CTCTGTAAACCGCTTAGAGAGGGCTGAAAGCCCTATGAAGCGGTATATAAGTCTCACTGCTATTGCTATTGCTATTCCCTGAAGCCTCCGGAGCACAAAAAACAGGCCCTACAGGCAAACCGGAATTTCAGGAAAGGACTTCTGGTTTGCTCATAGAGTCGTTTTTCATCCTCCAGAGCCTTCAGGGAAGCCTCCAAAAGGCCCCGGAGGGCTTAAACTGCCCCTAAGAGTAAACCAGAAGTCTGTTCCTGAATTTCGGATTTGCCTGTAAGGCGGTTTTTTTCACTCCGGAGGCTTCAGGGAAGCTCCTGAAGCCTCCGGTGGGGGATGGGGGAAGTTGTTTTTGCCCTCTCCAGGCTCCTATAAAGCCTCTGGAACCTGCGGAGGGAGAAAAAAGCATGCAAAAAATAGGGGGAGCGTCTGTCATGTGCGCATGCACGCTGGGGGTCGCACATTGCACTATGGGTGCGGTACGCCCACTCCTGCCCCCCCCTGCCCCTCCTTTCGGCACGCGAGCCAAAAAAGGTTCACCATCACTGTCCTAGGGTCAATTCCCACTTTTGAAACCTTCTGACAAGCAAAGTCAATGGGAAAGCCACATTCGCTTAAAAACCATGTTACTAACTTAACAACTGCAATGATTCTCTTAACAACCGTTGCAAGAAAGGCTGCAAAATGGGGCAAAACTACCTTAACAAATGTTTCACTTAGCAACATAAATGTTGGGCTCAATTATGGTTGTAACTCGAGAACTACCTGTAGAAGTACAAAAAATAATAATACTCTCATTTACTGGAACAAGCGTCAAGACACATTGTTAGTTCTGCATGCTAGGATATGACCATTTTACAGGTATATTAAAATTCTTTGATTTGTGGATGATAAAAGATCTAGTAAAAAGAGTTGCACAGCTAATTTGGAGGATCACATTCATTTTGAATCGTTTACTACATATACTTACCTCTCCATGTTTCAATTTTGTGCTCCTCAAGTTCGTAGATTTGTACCTATAAAAAAGAAAGACAAAAAGACCATATATTTATATTTTTAAAAGTCATTAAAATAATGACATCTTCCTTTGAATAAAAATATTGAGGACAGAAAAAAGGGGGCTTTAAGGGGATTTTTTTCTAAGTGATGAGCTTTTGGGTGGTTTGCATATGAGTATTTGCTCTCAAATAATTCCTGATCCTTGCAACTACCTGGACAAGTCCCTGCCATTTTTCTTGACCTGATTCTTAGAAACAGTTTGCCATTGCCTCTTTCCTAAGCCTGAGAGAGAAAGAATGGACCAAAGTTATCCAGCCGGCTTCATGACTTAAGCCTTTCAGTTCCTAGCCCAGTGCCTTTAACCACAACGCCAAATTGTCTCCATATAAGCAAGGGCTAGAGAATAAACAAATTTAAAATTCAACCAAGGAGCTTGCCATAATTAGGAAAGAGATCGAATGCTCAGCTCTATATACAGGTCTTCTACATAATAGAGATACCAGATTCCAGTTATTAGAATTAAGAACTATATTCAGTTCACCATTATTTCTGTCGATATTGCATTAGAAAGAAACAATTTGGTTAGAAGATGAATTTCTCTCCAATGTTTCATCCTATAGTGCTTTGAAAAATACATTTTATTTTCTAATATCAATGGTCCCTAACAGAATACTAGTCTGAACAGTGTTAATCACTAAATAATATTTCCTCCCACTTTGTTTCCTTTTTCAATTTTTAATCCTTTCCCCTGTTGGTTCTAACAAGTGAATGCTAAGTGGGAGTTCACAGTTTCCTAGGAGCTAGAATTACAAAACTGCCAATCTAAGGCATGGGAAGCTATGATTTTTCTTTCAAAAATAAAGACTACAGAACCAGCTTGCATTTTAATATATATGTTGAATGGTACATATCTTACCACATTGTACAAGCCACTGTGAAACACATCAGTATTATACTAGAATAGAAGTTTACACTGATTAATTTATCATAGTCAGGGTGGGGTGGGGTGTTCTGGCTAGCATTACTGCCGGTTCGCTCGTGTGCTGAATGCGTGCTGCAAGTGCATCAATAGAAATTGTTCTGCGCATGCGCAGAACTGGGGGAAAAAATGGCGGTGGTGGCGACGGCAAACCGGTTTGGAGCCGTGTCCAGCCTGCAACGCTCCCATTTCTGCGACCAGGCCGGCATGTCACTACAGGTTCTGCTGAACCAGTACAGCTCTGGTCATAGTATACCCAACTCAAATGGAAGGAAATCAGGAAAAAAATTAAAAAGCATAAAGTATATGTATAGTAAATAGTATACAGGGAGAGTAGATTCTGAAAACAAAGCTGTTCTTCCTTATAGCATTAAATTCTTGATATTAAATTTGTACACAAATAAAAAAAATTGTGCTTCTCCAGCTACTATTCATTTAAAACCGAACAGTGTTAACAGTACTTTCAAAATAACATCTTAGTGAAGAACACTGTTCAAATAAAAATTGCCCTCAGTTGAATTTCTCCTTTTAAAATAGTGATAAAATTGAATGATGAAACTGCTGGATCTTGCTAATGAAGTGAAGGGCAGCTACTGGCATGCATTCTTTGCAATGGAATAGGGAATCTATGGTCTCTAATTGCTGTCAAACAATTCCCAGCAGCTCACCAACAAAGGAATGCTATGAACAGTTCAGAAATATTTGGAAATAATACCACAAGGCCTCATATCTACTAGATGCAAATATATTCTGTTGTTGCATAATATTTATTCATTTATTTTGGAGAAGTTATATCAACACTCAATCTTAAACAATTTTGTGTAGCTACTAAGCAATATATGAAGACATTTTAATAAAAAAAATAAAAATGAAAATTTGATTTTAGGATTTAACAATTAGATCTGCCATTATATAGAAATATTGCACCCCTCCCCGGTTTTCTATTCATATTTAAAACTCTATTTATGGTTATTCTGCACTCCAATTGTTCAGCAGTGAAAGGAATGTGCTTGCATTTGAATAAAAAAAATTGCCTTATTCACTGTTGTAAGAAAGTCACCTCATTCCAAATTAATGAAAACTACAGCCATACTATATCAAAAGAATGATGCATGGAATCCATAATAAGATGGTGCACTGAACCAACTGGTTAAGTTAATGTAATTATTATTTACACAATGGATCTAGGACAAGACCACCAAAACTAGTGTGAGATGAGCAGTGCAGTAATATACCATTCAATGCTGCGAACATAATATAACAGAAGTAGTCTACTAAGGATCATGGCACATTTGTTTGTTTAAAGTAAACTACACTGAGGTCAGTCTTAGGGGAATACACATGAAGGAAAAAATTTCATCCCATTTAATGTATTGGTAGTTTGGCAGTCTGATTGATAATTAGTCTACAGCTTGATTCACTTTTCTTTTCTTGATGTATATATCATTTCCTACTTATGACTGAGCAATTATAGTTGAATGTACTGGAGTATGAGACACAAAATAAGTGCAGATGCTACTGCTAGGAAGTAAAGAAGATAAGCAAATGCAGTAATTGTACATTTGGGATTTGAAGACAGGATGAACAGAATTACTGTGGGAGGACAATCTGTTTCTTAAGTAACCAGACTGTAACATTTAGATTTCCAAATGCCAGCAACTTTTTAAGTTGGTTTCCTTTCCTCTACATTTTTCATAAATGCCAATAGCAAGGGATATTTGTGTTACAAATTGGCAGGCATAGTTAATTTGCATATAAGAAATAGGATTATTTCTTTTAGAAAGATTAAATATCACATTTGCTTCAGCTGGCTCTGTGTACCAGTTTAACTATGTCCACTGTTAAAACTCTTGTGTAAACTTCCAGGTGAAAAAAGTATCGTCTCAATATTTTCATTGTCTCAAATTCAGTAAAACAGAAAAAAAAACCTGGGAAGAAAGACTAATAACGTGGAAAAAAAATAGTGGGTTTCCCTCAACACAACACTTACTGAAAGGTCAGTACAGAAAATTATTATGGTTCATCGCACAATCAGCCAGATTCAGACAAGATTTGGCATTTTATCCACCAATCAAGTCCATTCCAAGGTACGCAGATGTTGATGGTGTTAGAGGTATCATTGCATGATGTAAGCTGTTCTGAATAAAGCTGCTTTTTGCAATTAACTGATGGTGAATTTGTCAATGCTGATGGTTTTCAAGAGATGCTCCAGTTGTTTTGGGATTGCATCCAAGATGCCTATTATTATTGGTACTATCTTTGCTTTCTTTTGCCACAGTTGTTCTATTTTCATTTGCAGGTCTTTGTGTTTTGTTATCTATTCCAACTCTTTTATCTCTTTTCTATTGTCTCCAGAAACTGCCATGTCCAAAATAATTTATGTAAATATATGTGGTTCTAACAATATGCCATATATATGACTAAACAGAGAAACAGAGAAACAAGTATTAGATATATGCAGGAACTGGTTATGTCTAGTTTAATAGAAAGAAGGACTAGGGGAGACATGATAGCAGTGTTCTAATATCTCAGAGGTTGCCACAAAGAAGAGGGAGTCAAGCTATTCTCCAAGGCACCTGAGGGCAGGACAAGAAGCAATGGGTGGAAACTAATCAAGGAGAGAAGCAACTTAGAACTGAGGAGAAATTTCCTGACAGTTAAAACAATTAATCAGTGGAACAGCTTGCCTCCAGAAGTTGTGAATGCCCCAATACTGGAAGTCTTTAAGAAGATGTTGGATAGCCATTTGTCTGAAACAAATGGGTTTCCTGCCTAGGCAAGGGGTTGGACTAGAAGACCTCCAAGGTCCTTCCAACTCTGCTATTGTATTTGTATTTATATTTGTACATTTGAATGGTATGTGTAAATAATAAATATTTCATTTTCAGTTATTGGCAGGTTCAAATATAGTTACTATATTCAAGTATCAGGAATAACTAATTTCAGGCTGGATACAAAAATAGAAACATAGATGTCTTCCTAACAATTGTTATGTCTCAAATTGAAATGTGCATCAAATCACAATATTAGCTCTGCCCTTTTATACCTGTGTTGCAACATGGCATGAAAGTATATAAAAAGTGGGGTTTACATAGTGATACTTGCTTACTTGCTAGCCATCCCCTTTCTTCAGACATCTCTGTATGGAGACTTCAGAGTATTAGATTTGGATATAATGTTGCTATACTGTTAAGCTGCATTGTAACAGCTAATTATTATAAAATGCCTTATGAGTACACTAGGCTGAGAGTTACTGATTTACTCAAAATCCACTAATTATCTACGTAGCTATTTAAGCTACACTTCTAATTTAAGTTTCTGCAGTCGAATAGTAACCAATCACACTAGATCTATTCCATTGTTTGTATATTTCCCAAAACACATCAAAGGATTTCTGGTCCAATCATTACTACCATCTAGGGAACAGATATTTTTCTTTTCATTTGACAATAATCAGCTGTAATAATATTGAAAAATCCTGTTCAGTTTTACACCTACAGATTACAGCAAAGTAGGAAAATTCCATATTTATGTACCAAGCTAGAATGGTATTCTTTCTCTTAACCATTGTTATACTTTTATTTCAGTTATCCTGTTTTATCTGTAAAAGCTGTAATTATGAGGTGGTACCTACCATTGGAGACTTGTAGTATCTATGCAGTATATTAATGAAATCTGTTATAGTTAACATTCCTGTAACAAGGCAAAGAAAAAGCAAATTTAATCCAGTTTTCCAATCTGTTTTTAATTTAAACTTTACAGATTTACTGGTAAGTGACAGAAAACCCAAGTGAAGTCCTGGAAATATACACAAACATAGTAATGTTTATTCTTCACAAATCACAGTAAGAGTTGAGATATCATAATTACCCCACTCATATACATCCTCACTTAACAGCATGCCAAAATGATGCAAATCACTATGGACGAACTAACATTAATGCAAATGTAGCTGTTTCATCTGAACTATTTCAGTTACATCAGATTTGTCCATTATTTTGAAGACATGCCTAGACAGAAATTTGGTCCATTGCATCCAAAATCTGCTAAATGGAAGATCATTAAATTGAGTTTCTACTGTATACTTGAAGTCACATTTTTAGTATAAAAGTAAGAAAAGTATAAAAAGAAGGAAAAAAGTCATTTGTACTATTTTTCTATAATTTCATACCAACAAATATCATCCTACCTACAAAGCTTTGTTTTTTACTCTCCCACAGTGGAGCTGCTCGAACACCATTTGCCACTAAAGCAAAGAAAGCTTTCTTTACCTGAAAAAAAGAAAAACACAGCAAGAAATTATCTTAAAGGCAGTTATTTGGAAATAAGTATCTATTTTGAGTTTGAAACACACATACACACAACCAAAAAACTGCAATAGTTGCATGACAGGGATCATTTAGGAAAAAACACTTATAACTAAATGAAAACTGAAGAAATGAGGCAAAATATATGTGGAACATCATCCTTACAGAAATAATAAGGTTGGAACACTCCCCCCCCCAACAACATTCTTTCAAAAAGCATGAAGACAGGTTTTGCCAGCAGGCCAGAGACCCCAGGGTACTATGGAGCCCACCAAATTATGCTTTGTCAACCATGAAAGGGAAGGGCTTTTCACTATATATATAGTCCTCACTTAGTGACTTCTTGTTCGGCAACCATTCAAAGTTACAACAGTGTTCAACAAGAAGACTTATGGCTGGTTCTTGAAGTTGTGGCTGTCGCAGTGTCCCCACTGTCACAGGATCATGATTGGGGCACTTGGCAACGGGCACACAGTTACAGTGGTCACAGCTTCCCACAATCACATCATCACCACTTGTGATCTTCACTGCCAGCTTCCAATAAGTCAAGTCAATAAGGAAACCAGCCACCACCTGATGTTGTGCTTCATGACTGCACAGGATTCCTTAACAACCACAACCCGAACTGTCATTGTACACTGAAGATCGCATTTAATTTTATTGTACAAGGTGCAACGACAATAAAATAAACTAAAATAAAAATTAAACACATATGTAAGAGAAAAGGTCATTTAATTTTTGCCTTTCTTTCTCATCTACAACATTCAAAGTCATGATAACTGCTTATTTTACAAGAAACCTGCAGTGAAATTATACTTTTTTAAGGAAAAAAAATAGAAAAAAAATCACAGCTACTTTTGTTCTTAGTTCTAAAAAAATCATTTATCACCACAGTAATATATTATGACTAGCAGTATTCAAGAAGAAAGCGTCATAAGGAATATGACAGTATGTGTTATATGTCTATTTCAAAATTATCAGTTTTTTGTGCAAAGAACTAGGATTCTTACAAATGCAAACTATAATGTTCAATAACCACATTATTAAAATGAATTTAATGGAGTTTCCAAGCAACATTATTTGTAATCTTGGTTTTCTCTTGTCATTTCTCATTTTTTGGTTGTTTAAAATGGAATTTATATTACCCAATTTGGGTAATATAAAACTGAAATTTTATGTTGGGCAGCCTAAAATAAAAATTATGGGAACTGCTGTCAATTTTAAAACCACCTTTACCCTGAAGTATGCTTAACTGCTATCCTCTGGCTCTGATTTCTAAATCCATAATAAAATATTTTTAGGTCTCATCCATAAAGCTGTTTTCTGCAGCAGAAAGGTTATCATCTGTTGAGCTCCATAACTCTGTATCTGAAGACTATCTACCTAACTTATTTGCCATTTCTCCAGTGACATTCTGACTCCAAGGAAGATGGATTCCTTGCTTCCACAATCCCTCTTCCACTTTTAAAACGGATTGGTTGACCAGAAAACTAAGAAAATGCAGACTGCCTTTTCATGCACAAAATGAGGGCATAATTGGAAGAACTTCGCTCGTCTATTACTATAGAAAAGGAATTATATATCCAACAGCTGCTTTTTGGGAAGTTCTGGTTGTTCATTTCCTCCCCTCACAGAATTATATTTTTAAAAAGTTAGTTCATTATAGATTTTGAGGGCAACTTCCACTCTTTTTAATGATTGCAACTGTATGTATGCTGTGATTTGAGACACAACTCAATAAACTGATTTCTCAAGTTCAAATTCTTCAAATCTTTTCCGGGAAATACAACTTTGGTATCCACTACTAGATGGCATCCAAGAGAGATGAAAGCCCAATTCTTTACAGCTATATGGAAAATGACTGTTGGCTTACCTGAACGGTCATTCTCTAGGCACTGTGGGAGTGTCCAAGCATGGGTTAACTTCAGCTTGCTGCCCAAGGACTGAGTTCAAAGTTTGTGGAATCAAGCTTCCTGCTCCCTGCCCAAGGACTGAGTTCAAAGTTTGTGGAATCAAGCTTCCTGCTCCCTTTAGAGGCTTAGTTTAAAAACCAAAGGGATTAGACTATAAAGATGCTATATATAATAAAGGTTACACCCATGGAGATGATAAATCACGCATCCGCGGTGACCCCAGGGTGGGGTTGGACACTCCCGCAATGTCTAGAGAATGACCATTCAGGTAAGCCAACGGTCATTCTCCTAGGCACTGCTTGGAGTGTCCAAGCATGGGACATACCAAAGCTATGTAATCCCAGAGTGGGAAGAAGAAATGTCCTGGTGAGTTGGAGCCGCGAGGACCCGCTGTAAGACTCTCCTGCTGAACGAAGCCTCAGCAGACGTGAAAGAGTCCAATCTGTAATTCCGAATGAACGGAGACGGTGAGGACCAAGTAGCTGCCCTGCAGATCTCCTTGATAGGCGCTTGCGTGGCCCATAGTTGTGGCATAACTATAAGAGCTTTACCCCTTTGAAGGGAGTGGAAGTGAACTTCCACTTGGTCTTCATGTCAGCCTGCCAGTGTCTGAGCCACAATAGACAGCGTGATGTTACATTTGAGGCCAAGGCTCTCAAAGAAAATTTGGTGGCATTAAGGGAAGCGTCAGCTGAGTATTCAACTGCCGCAATGATTTTATTGACATCCTAGCGGTCTGGTGTCATTCGCTGGCAATTTGGATTGCAGCTTATAGAGCCAGAAGAGGAATGCCCTACTGAAATAAGAGAATGAAGAGGAGGCCCTCATGTCCCATGCGGTGACCTGATGGGTCTTATGGCAGGCCTTTTCCACCCTCTTGTCCTCTGCTTTAAGTCCTTCCAGCAGCTGGAAGAACAGAATTGGAAGTCAAAGCCACTATGGGATTGTCTACCAGAAGAAGCTTCAAGAGATCCTCAATGCTGTTTCCCATGGAATAAAGCTTCTTGTCCACCCCTCTCAGATTGGCCATTGAACCCAGCTGAGCCCACTGCCACTGGATGACATCCAAGAACAGCTGAGGGGCTGGCAACAGCTGGGGAGGGGCGTTTTCCTTGAAGAAGCGAGCACCTGGGTCCTGGGATCTAGAAGCCTCCTTACTGCTTTGCTCTGTGGATTCCTTATTAGGCTGGCCTGGGAGACCTATCTGAATGGAAGAAGCCCTGGCTTTGGTGAGGATGGCTTTGAACATCAAGGGCTTGAACAACCCAGAGAAGGCGGGCGGATCAGGAGCAGGATTTTTGTCCTCAGACAAATCCAGGGTCTCCTGAGCCCCTTCTTCTGTTTCGGACTCCTCGCTTACGGCCGAGGAAGCTAGAGAGGATGACCTCCCTGCCCGGTCCTTAGAACCTGAAACCTGAGTTCCAGGCTTGGGTCATGCCTGGCGAGGTAGGCTGTGGCGTAGCTATCTCATTCCCTCAGCAATGTCCTGAGATATCGCGTTAGCAATGATTTCTTGCATTTCATTGGACAAATTGTGGCCCTTGGGCCTAGGTGCAAGCAAGGAAAGGTCTTCCTCATCAATGAGGGAACCAGCCTCCTGCACTGAATTCCCCCCTAGGGAAGGACTTGGGGACCCCAGGGACCCCCTGGGTGGGTCAGAGGAAAGATCGATGTCCCCTTCCTCTGCCAGAGATGGTGAAATCTCTGTATGGAGAGGAGGCCAAGGGGCCCAGTGGGAACCTCTGCAGGAGGAGGAGGAGGCCATGCAAGTCTTTGGCCCTTCTGGATTTGCTTCTCTATAGCTTTCCGGCTCCTCTCTGCTAGCCTCTGAGAGGCCTTAGACATCTCCTTAGGTTTGAGCTGTTTGCCCTTGGGTAGCAGGCCTGCTAAGTTTAGGGGAGGAAGGACCTGCTTGATTGATGTCTTCAGCTGCGCTGGTGGAAGCCATAGTAGCTGGATCAATTTGGCCAACACCGCAGGACAGTTGTGAGGCTAAAATGGCAGTCAGTCAATTAAGTCTTAATGTCCTGGTCTCTGTCCGGGAACAATGGTGGGGGTGGGGTCTGCAGCAGGTCAAAATGGTGCTTTTGACAAGTTCAATGCGCCCGCTGATCCGCACTGTCAAACAGGATATGGCCAGTTCAAAGCCAAAAATCCTGTAGCTGCTTGAAACCAGTCCTTTTGGGGAAGGGGGAACTTGCCTGGAGACCGAGAACAAGGTCCTCGATTTAAATAACCCCACCCAGCAGCGATCTGCAGAAGGAGACAGGCAGTGGCAAGTCAAATGGCCAAGAATTTTTCGTGTCCTTTTTAAACTTCAAAATGGCCGCCGCACGGCTTGGAACGGCACTGGGGACTGCCTGTCAGTCGGAAAAAGGCTTTAGGAGCCTCCGGAGCTGTTACAAACTCTCTGGTGGCGTTTTGGGGCCACCTAGCTTCCTATCTGGCCCCAGGCTCACCAGCAGCCGTTGAACGAGCCCCCACAGTGGTGCCTCACCCGCATGGTCAGGGAAGACAGCCTCGTTCCGAGCAGCTACGTACAAACATATTCTGATCACCCAAGGTTCCATGAGATTTGCTGATGGGATTTAATGACAGGGGACAGTACGGGGGGCGACTTATCCCAGGGACTTGCAAATTTGCTTGCCAGCTTCTGGGGAAGCCATCGGGAAAGATTGTACTGGAGATCACCTAATTGTGGATCATGCTAACCATTCATAAATGTGAGCGAGTAAGTAGCACTCAAAATGCAATCACTGGTCATAACTACTGGACATTCAATTAAGTGCTGTCATAATGATTGATGAACGAATGGTCATAAATTGAGCATTCAGTATTGAGCATACCAACACTGAAATAAAACATAGCTTAAGTGTACAACATGTGCTGTTTTCCTATGGATGATGATGAACTACTTGATTAGACCATGCTGTTCTGGGGCAATTTGATGGGTTTTGAACTGGAAGTAGATAAGGGATTTTTGCACTTTCCCAAGATTTATGTTGGCTGTAATCTAGCAAACAGTGAACTTGTGCTTGTAAGCTACAGCAGAAAAGGGTACCAGCATATTCCAATATGAACTACTGTCACCTCTAATAAGATTTTTATCATTTTTCTTTTTGTTTATTAAAGACACCGGACAACTAACTGCAAAGAAAGAAATCCCCTAAACAAGAACTTACCTGTAGTGTAGTATCAAAAACTACAAGCTTTGAGCTTGTTGGAACAATATCGTAACACTTATGTGACTTCATGAATCGCATGTAGATATCACTTTCTGATTCACCAACAGCTGTAAGAAAATATTTAAAGATTTTGTAAAAAATACTGTTCATCTTGATAGTATTTTAAATAAAAGTGTAGAGTATTTTTCAACATGTTTGCAGCTCTTTTTACATACTGTTTTAGAAAAAAAGTGATCACTCTTTTTCAAACATACTCTAAATGCTTTAAACTATAATTCTCATAAGCCACTACTCAGTATGACCAGCTTTTATGAATTATACTGTAAAATGTATATAGGTTAAGGTATTTAGTTTACCACATTAGATTGGTAACCTGTCATCCATGAAACATCTGATTTAAATATAACAGAATGGACACATAAACTAATATAAAAAAAGGGGAGGGGGAATCTCATAATCTTGTCTGCTTATTTATTTAACTCTGGATTAATGTTTACAATTCATTGATTTCTTACAGTTGAAATCTGTAGTCCAGTGATCTCTGGTAAGCTGAATGAATGTGTACTAGTCTGATTCCATTCCCATTTTAATCAAAATGGGAAAATCAAAATTTTGACTTTAGCAATTATTTATCCTTATTTAATGTAGTGTATTATATTAATGCTTTATACTCATGCCCATTTACACCAGAAAAAATAGAGGGGTCTGTATTCTTATAAAAGCTGCAGGATTTGATCGCATGCACCCAGAGCTATTGCAGAACTGTAGACCAGCAACTAAGCATTGGCTTGCCTTTTTTAGTACCATACTATACTCCGATATTCAAGAGCAAAATTATTGCAATTTTGAAACCAGTAACCACAAAGTTACAGGTCAATTGCTCTTCTCTGTGTCACCTGCAAACTTTTAGAAAGATTTGTGTTAAACAGAATAGCCCTAGCAGTAAAATCTCTAATCCAAATAGAACAAGCTGGATTTCGCCCCAAATGTGATTGTAGTGATTAAATCCTTGCATTAACGTCCTATTTGGAGAATGGATTCCAAAGAAAATGAAAAATGTTTGTGTTTTTCTGAGCTGCAAATTATGCCCTTTCCTGGATAGGGAGGCTCTACGTGCAGTTCCTTATGCCTTGTTTATCTCCCAGTTGGTCCATTGCAAAGTGCTCTATATGAGGCTTCCCCTGAAGAGCTTCAGCTGATGCAGTGGGACCATGTGGGCCATACTGGGTGCCTGAGGAAGGGCACATATAACACCCTTGGTCCATGAATTGTACTAGGTACCAGTCTGTTTCTAGGTCCGATTCAAGTGCAAGCCATCACCTCTTATGTGATATAGGAGTGATATAGGACCAGGTTACCTATAGAATATAGAATGTGCTTTGCCCCATCTCATCAGCCTGTCTCACTCAATCAGGCAGATCACATCAGTCAAAGAATTTTAACTGGCAGGGTCTAAGAAGAGGGTCTTCTCTGCCTTGTGGAACATCCTGATCCCAGAGGTGAGGAAAACCACCAATCTCTTGGTCTTCTGCAAAGAGATCAACACTTGGCTCTGTGATCTTGCACATGGGGCACAAAAGACCGACCAACCATGGGGCTGATTAGTCTGACAGCCCCCCCCCCTACCTGTAATAATCCAACATTAAATGGCCATCCTATGATTTTTTTCCCCTTTTGATGTTTATTTGTTATTCTATAATTTTAATTTTTTAACCCTAGTTTAATTTTAATGTTAATTTTATACATTCATATATTTATCAGTTATGTTATATTGTACACCCTCTGAGCGTCTTGGGAGAATATAGGTGGTTTAGAAATATGAAATATAAATATGAATAAGTGAAGGACTATATAGAATGATTTATTTAGTAATTCTAGCATCTTGAGTCTAACAGGAAATGTTACATGCTGTTCTTCTATGATCCCTGATCATTTGCCTTGCATCAAAAGTGAGTCCTCCATATTTCTGTTAACAGGGGGCAGTAAAGGACTATGACAGAATATCTTGATGTATAAGAGCAACAGGGAAGCTTTTTTTAAAAATTTCCCTGTAAAAGAGACAATGGCAAGACACTGTATCAAGCTAAGCTAAAAGATTTTCAGAGGTGAGCAACTGTCTATACCTAGGAGAAAAACTTTAAGTTCAGGTCTGCTTGCCACTCAGTCAGTCACCTTCACACTTGAAACCACTTTGTCTCTGCCACTGCTAGAGAAACTAAAACTGAATTCCAAACAGAGTGTGGAAATGCTGCTTTATATGTCTTTTACTCCAGGAAACAATTTTTTTTGGCAATATTTGAGGTTTGTATCAGTTGCATAATTTTTTGCCTCAAAGAGTTTTACATTTACTTATTTTGGATCTTGCCAGTCATATGGAGAAGAGCAGGCAGCCATCCTGGTCAAACTTTTCAGAGGAGAAATCTGCTACTGAGGTAACTTTTCTTTAAAATCAAAGTATGTCCTACTTCCTTATTTATTCATGCTGTATTCAAAATCCATTCAATTATAATAGGATGACATTCAGTGGTGGCATTCAATTTTTTTTACTACAGTTCTGTGCGCATGTGTGGTGGGTGTGGCCGGGGAAGGTTACTGCAAAATCCCCATTCGTACACACATGCACACGAGGAGCAGTGCCCATTGCATTATGGTTGTGGGCACATGTGTACATGATTTTGGTACACGAGACCAAGCTCTAGAAGCTGCCTGGAAGAGGAAAAATCCATCTGAAAAATTAAAACCGTAAATTCCCAGACATCAAATATTATGCTTTTGCTATCCCCTCAAAAGTCCTTATCCCATTAATGAAAGCAAAACTATGTGAAAACATGAAGCATAAACAAAGATAGATAAATAGATAGACAGACAGACAGACAGGTCTTACACTGAGTCTTTGCTATATTAATTTGACTATAAAAATCATAGTAATAAGTAAAATACTGTAATAGCATATTATTTGCCAAATAGATGTATTTGCATTAAATTTGTAAAGGGTAATAATCTTTTTTAGATATTTCAGATTCATCATACAAGTATAATTATAACTGATTACTTTGGGTTTTCTACTTTAAAAAATGCTGAAATATAGTACCAAAAATTATATATTAAATTAATACAATAGCAGAGTTGAAAGGGACCTTGAGATCTTCTAGTCCAACCCCCTGCCTAGGCAGGAAACCCTATACCATTTTAGACAAATGGCTATCCAACATCTTCTTAAAGACTTCCAGTGTTGGGGCATTCACAACTTCTGGAGGCAAGCTGTTCCACTAATTAATTGTTCTAACTGTCAGGAAATTTCTCCTCAGTTCTAAGTTGCTTCTCTCCTTGATTAGTTTCCACCCATTGCTTCTTGTTCTACCCTCAGATGCCTTGGAGAATAGCTTGACTCCCTCTTCTTTGTGGCAACCCCTGAGATATTGGAAGACTGCTATCATGTCTCCTCTAGTCCTTCTTTTCATTAAACTAGACATACCCAGTTCCTGCAACTGTTCTTCATGTTTTAGTCTCCAGTCCCCTAATCATCTTTGTTGCTCTTCTCTGCACTCTTTCTAGAGTCCCCACATCTTTTCTACATTGTGGCGACCAAAACTAAATGCAGTATTCCAAGTGTGTCCTTACCAACACATTATAAAGTGGTATTAACCCTTCACGTGATCTTGATTCTATCTGTCTGTTTATGCAGCCTAGAACTGTGTTGGCTTTTCTGGCAGCTGCTGCACACTGCTGGCTCATATTTAAATGGTTGTCCACTAGGACTCATGATTCTTCTCACAGTTACTACTATTGAGCAAGATACCACCTATTCTGTACCTGTGCATTTCATTTTTCTTGCCTAAATGTAGAATCTTACTCTTTTCACCATTGAATTTCATTTTATTAGATAGTGCCCAATGTTCAAGTTTGTCGATCCTTCTGTATCTTAAGCCTGTCTTCTGGAGTGTTGGCTATTCCTGCCAGCTTGGTGTCATCTGCAAATTTGATGAGTTCCCCATTTATCCCCTCATCCAAATCATTGATGAAGATGTTGAAGAGTACTGGGCCTAAAACAGAGCCTTGGGGTACTCCACTACATACTTCCCTCCATGTAGATGCAGTTCCATTGAGGACTACACGTTGAGTGCAGTTGGTCAGCCAGTTATGAATCCATCTGGTGGTGATGCTGTCTAACCCACATTCTTCTACTTGATGGGCTGGATAAATCCTCATTTTTCCTCCTTAACCATGATATGTTATATTTGGTATGCCAAACAACTGAGTGAAATCATAGCAGATTTTTCTTTTGTAATGTTCTAATAAAATACTCATTACTTCATGTACCATATTGGGCATTGTAACATCCAATTCTTAAAGCAAATGTCATCCTTATGGTGGATAACATCTTAAGTCTGAAAGCAAAGTATTACAACACATAAATCCAAAATAACTATAAAGTATTATACACACATGCACTCACATATAAAACAATAAAAACAATATGAAAATATTCAAGGTAATAGGGAAGGAGAAGAAAAATGGAAGCAAAAACAGTAACTTTTTAACATTAGCAGAGAAGGCCTGAGTACAATCAGATGCTCAGCTGGCACCTGAAATATTTGCAACAAACAATTCACAACTTTCAAGGAAAACTTTTTCAGTAGGTACAGGTCAGGTAACACATTCTGCAGCTCTAAGTAAAAGCAGCAGCAGCAATTCACCCCACCCCATCCCCAGCACACAATTTCAGCTCTGCAATGGCAAAGACTGTCCATTAGATGTCCTGGTATTAAAATGTTTATGACCTTATGCATCATAGGCACAATCTTTAATGCTGCTTAGTATTAAAGTGGAAGCCAATGTGGTTGCTTCAATAAATACACAGCATTCCATGCCAGGTGCCATATTCAGCAACTTGGCCAAAACAGTCTGCAGTAGCTGGATCCTCTTGACTCAAAGGGTAAACTTGTTTAGCTTGTGCCTTTCAGTAATCCAAACATTAAGGTTAACATTAAGTTCTACCACCACTGTTTGGACTTGGGCCTGTAAGTTTATCACTGGCACTTCCTTTTTCCTGTTGTGGTGAGAGAAGGATGGCATTCCATCTTCCTCACTCCACCCTCCTTCCTGG